GTGGGGGACATACTAGCCAAACTGCCAGGTAAGATGCACTGGAGAAAAAGAACATATACTTCAGAAGTATATACCAAAGGGAGGGAGACTATAAAGTATCTAAAGCCTAGGCAGACCAACCCTTCTGGGTTGTTAGCTGGGAGTAAGGATAGATCGATAAAGAATCTGAGAAAAAAGAAAGTCTGAACATAAATACTAGGGTTATATAAACCTATTAAGAGCAGGAGTAAAAAAGTTTGTAAATCATTTGAAAATATAGAAAACTAAAAAAATTTATTTGTTTATTATTGGAAATTATATAATATTTTTGTCTATAGTACATCATGTATTGTAAAGTCATATTTGATAGATATTCTATTTCCCAAAGCTTATAAAAAAAATCCTGAAGATGGTAAATAGTGATCAGGTTTTTCAGAAGAAAATGTTGTTAGTTTTAATGAATTTGATAGTTCTTTTTTTAAATAGCAACAACTGCTTGACAAATTGGATCATAGAAAAGATTCAGTTCAAATAAAAGGCTTGCATATTAATTATGTATTAAAAATTCAAGCTTTTACTTCAAACATTCTATTAGATGAATTATATTATTATACAGAAGATTATTTTTATATTCAATTATCAAATGGAGAAAGAAAACTAAATAAAAAATATTTTTCTTCTTTAATAGAAAAATTTAATTTTGTGATTAAATATAAAAAATTTCGAGAAGATAATTAGTTGATCTGTTGTGATGAATGTGTTTGTTGTCAAGTAATAGGAATTTTCTATAAGGAATCACATGAAAAATTTAATAATTTAAAATTTATTATCGAATTCAACAATGATATGAGTGAATCTTATACAAAAACAATAATCAAAAAAAAAGTTAATAGCAAATTTTTTCAAAAACCCAGAACCAAAAAATATTATTTTAAACTATCTCATCAGGCCGATACTTCAAAATATATAACAACAAATTATAAAGATATAGATGAAAAAAAAACAGATATAATTATTTATTCTGATATAGTTGAGAAGTTAAATCATCAATATAGTTCAAGTAATAGCAAAATAATTGAAATTGATTATAAAGAAACTACACAACAAGATCATGATTCTAAAATAGAACCAATTCAAAATTTCAAACAATACTATATAACAGTTGAATCAGATAATGAAATTGAAACAAATTTTGATTCAGACGATTTACAAATAGAATCTTCAACTCAACAACAAATTAATTATCAGTATTCTGAAATTTTTAGCAAATCAGAATCTGAGTTATCAGATCTTTATTCAGATGACTTTGATTATACTCATAAGCAAAAGAAAGGTAAATTTAAAACTATTTGTCTACAAGACATATCTGAAATCCGTCCACAAACCTTATCCAAATCAGTTAATATTATTGATGAAATTCAAGCTGCTATTTAGGCTAACCATCGAGAGCTAAATATGAATAGTAAACGTATTCATGAGTCTGAAGAGCATTTGGTTATTGAAAATGATTTATATATAGATCATGATTCAGATTTTAGTGAAAATTTTGAAGATTATGAATCAGATATTAGTGAAGATTCTAAATTAGCTAAAAAAGCAAAATTGATAAATTAAATAAAAAATAATTCTTTGTATCCAGGTTTAAAATGTATATTCAAAAACAATTTAGCTTTTTTTTGTATTTTTTATTATTTAATTATAATTATTTATTTATAAATACATTTATTTAATTATTAAATAAATTATTTTTTATAATGGAACAATCTCAATAAAATCTTGCTTTATTGGCTAACAACACTGACTTGATATGTACTAATAATAAATTACATAATCAAATTCTTGAGTTACAAAATATTAAAGATGATCTGTCCAATCAGATTCGTGAATTAAATAATTTAAATAAGTATTGAAACTCATCACAATCGAAGCTCTTGATAAAGAACAATTATATAAAACAGAAAATCTTACAGTATTTGAAAAAAGGTTAATGATATTATTTTTTAATTTTCTAGATGATTTGAAAATTAATAATATTATAATTTAGAATATAATTAATTTCATTCAAATATATCGCACATCAATTAAAGAAAACAAATATGTAAAAAAAATTTATACTTTAACTCTCTTTTTTCTTTCAATTATTTATAATTTTGTTATGAGGTATGATTATCTTCACATTATTGAATATATATTAGCAAATATGTTCATTTTTGGCTAGGTTTACCAGCAAAATTTTTCAAATTATTATGTTTTTTAGCTATTTAGAATTTTATTAAAAAAATTATATCAATTTAAAAAATATAAATAGAACATCTATTTCTTTTTCTTAAAAAATATTTTTTTTATTAATTAAAAATGATTAAATTTCCAACTAAATCTGAATTAAAAAAACTAGATAAGAATGAACATAGACAAATTTCTCGATTACAAGCTAGATATCAAGAATACCTTGAGCAGAATTTATCAAAGAATAAAGCCAAAAAATTTTTACAACATAACAGACATAAAATTGAGTATGATATTTCAGTAAATGATTCTAAATTATCTGGCCAATTTTATGAAGTAATCTATTTAATAATTTTTGAATATCAATATTTACAAATCAAAGATAATCTTTTAACAAAGTATACAAAATTCAAGGATGAAATTTTTAATTCCTCAAACCCCAATGAATATGTTATAAACCTTTTACTTAAGTATAGTAAATTTGAATTCAAACCACCTTTATTTATAAACAAACCATCACTTTTGATCCTGATTGCTTGATTAAAGTATTATTATAAACAAATTGCAATTCAACTAAATAAATTTAATTCAAGACCTTCATAACTCTATAGAAATATTGAAAAGCTTAACAAAAATAAAACCAAAAAAGTAATTACAAAAACACCAAAATATTTCAAAAAAAATTATAATGAAATTATACAGTTAGTTTTAGATTATGATTCTTTAAATTTTAATGATTTAATATCACAAATTGATATTAATGATCCTAGTTTATCAGAAAAAGTATTTAATTATATTTGTACAATATGTAATAAATATCTTGAATCAAAGATGAAAAAGACAAATCATGTTTTAGTTAAATATTTAAAAATGTTAAATGATATTTGGAATTCTAAAAACAAAAACAAACACATGATAAAATTAGCAAGTAAATTTTCTTCATTTGAGATTAAACAAATTTAGACCAAAATCACTAGAATCTATTATAACTTTAAAAGTTGTTCTTAAAAAAATTTTATTTCAAAATTTGTAATTTTTTTTATTTTTATATTTAATAATAAATATTATTTTATTATTTTACAAATTATATTATTTTATTATTTTAATTAGCTTTTGTTTACAAAAGCTCAAACCCATTCCTATTCTTTTTTTTTTTGCTAGGCAGCACAGTATCATGCTGTCATGCCTAGGGATCAGTTATAGAATTTAACTTATTTAAAAAATTAATTGCTTTATTTTTAACTTCTATATCATCTTTTTCTTTTTTAAAAAATTTTCATATTAACTTTTTATTTCTATGAATTTTTATAATCCATCTTTTATGTATATTACAGTAAAATAAACCTGTATATTCTGAATTATTATTGGAATTTAATTTATGAACTTTCATTTTTTAATTTATTTTAAATTAATAGAATTAAATTTTGAACACTATTTATATTTTTTTACTTTATTATATTGTTAATTTAATATTTTTTTTTTTAACTTTTAATTAAATTTTTAGTAAAAACATGTTTTTAACTTATAATTTTGTTAAAAGTTGTTAAAAAATCAGAATTATTTTTGTATAATCGAAATATATTTATTAAAAAAAATTTTTAATAGAGTATTTTTTATAATAAAAATAATTTAATTATTAACTTTATATTTTTATATATTAAAAAAAATTAAATATATAAAAGATCAAAATAAATACGAAAATAAGTTAAAAAAACAAAAAATTTACTTTAGTTTTCAGAAATAATAAAAAATTTAAAACCAATTTACACTGAATTTACAGCTTGCATATTATGCCAATAGTGAAAAAGAACATGTATTAGAAAAGTAAATTCAAAAAAGTGTGAAAATTGTATTAATTGGGAGTTCATGAGTAAGCCAGAGAGTGATATGACTCAGATTACTATATAAATTTACTATAGTGCGAATGTGGCTTGCATGAATCTAAAACTTTTTTTTATACTAAGTTAATCACCTTTCTAACTTAAGAGACTTTTGTAAAGCTTGTCAAAGCACATCTAATAGTAGTTAGAACGTCAAAATCGGCCTGATGGATGCTGAGATATCTTTAAAATCCCTTTTTTTTACTATGTAAATTTCTTTGCAAAAATGCTCTCTTTTGCAAAGAAATTTATATATTAAAAAAAAGGTTTTTTAAAGATACCTTAGCACCCACCAGGCCGATTTTGACATTCTAAATACTATTAGATACGTTTTGACAAGCTTTATAAAAGTCTCTTAAGTTAGAAGGATGATTAACTTAGTATTAAAAAAGTTTTAGATTTGTGCAAGCCACATTCACACTATAGTAAATTTATATAGTAATCCGAGTCACATTTTACTATGATACTCTCTGGCTTACTTGTGGACTCTCAATTAAAAAGAATATTGATTGTATTTGTTTCAAACTATTAAATATGAGAGATTCGATTGTAGGCTTGATTTATAAAAATAATGAATTAAAAAAAAAAGTTAAAGCTTCATGATAACGAATTGAATGAATTAAAGTTAATTGTCAAAGAAAAAAACAAAATCGATAAACGATTAAAAAAAATTGTAAACAAACTTTAATATATATTATTATTTTATTTTTTATATTTATTTTATTGTAATTTTAAAATACTTCATATAAATAAAAAAAATTTATTTTATATTATTTAAAATTTAAAATAGCCAATATAAATAAATTTAATTAATATAATATAAGGTAGATGGGGGTATTGTGGCCAGAAGAGTATTGTGGCCAACCAGCATATCTCATGATATAGTGATCAGAATTGGATAAAATTTATACCATTTAATTTGTCTTATTAAGACAAGTTGAATGGTATAAATTTCATCCGATTCTGACCACTATATCACAAGATATTATTGCTTTAAATAAATTATACAAAATTCTATATTGAGTTTTAATATAAGACAATTGTGATATAGCAAAAAACAAATTTCTGTATTAAGTTAATCAACTTTCTTGTGTTAAGAAAAGCTATTCGTAATGATAACTTTCAAATAATTTTACACTTTATGAAATATTGTTAATAAACTTTAAAGAAATAAAAAAAATATTATAATAGTAATCAGCTCTTTTGACAAAATTACAATATTTTAAATCCTACTTAAATTCAATTAGAATTTTTGCCAACAAAGTGTACTTTTCAATCAAAAATAAATTGAAGTATAAAGTTATTTAAAATTTTGATCAATATAACTTTGACACAATAACAATAAAAAAAATATATCTGATCTTACGCATTATTTAAAAGCTAAATTATCTAGCCTTTAGGCCATACAAACTTATACTATTGGTTTTCATATCACCAAGTAACTTTTTGTGACCCGGTGACCCGGCTTTTAATTTTATTTTCAAAAAATTTTATATGTAAAAAACATATAAAATTTTTTTACAAGAATTTAAAAAAGTCCACCCGGATAATAAATATAGTAAAAAATTTTTTTCAAACTTTTGTTGAATTTGACCCGGCCGGGTTATGAGAACCAATAGTATAAGTTTGTGTGGCCTTATATAATTAAGTTTGTAATATTTCTTTTAGCAATACAGTATACATAACTAAAAGTTTGTAATATTCCTTTTATAAAATAATACAGTACTCACATTGAATAAAATTTATTATGTTACAACTACTTAATTTCAATACTAGAGTTTATATATTCATGCGTTTTTTTATTACTTTAGTAGAATAAAATACCAAAAGTTACTAAAAATAACAAACATAAGCTTAAAAATAGTCAACATAAAACAATTCTCATAGCACTTAATGAATACAAAAACTATTCTACTAATTTTAAGCACCCTAGTGTAAACAGTCTAGCAGAAAGCTATAAAATTCCTAGAACTACACTTTGCTATGCAATAAAAAATGATAGTCTCTTTAATCATCCAGACTCACCTACTATTCTAACCAAATATGAGAAAAACCAACTTGTTGGATATTGCATTAATATGCAAAAGCTTGGGTTTGGTCTAACCTGGTTTGGTGTTAATCATTGTATAATAGAAATAATGCGAAATAACAAAAGGCTATATCTATTTGGTAATAATAGCCCAAGTAGAGACTGGTAGACCCATTTTATAAAAGACCATTCTGAGCTTTTATTTCATACACCCCAAGAGTTATCTGAAGCTCAGGTACAAAGAGCAAATGTAATTATTGTTAAAGACCATTTCAATAAACTCAAACAAATAATTGATGAAAATTCACTTACTGCTACACAAATTTGGAACATGGATGAAACTGGGTTTGTTCTTGTGTCTAAGCTAGAAAAGGTTATTGCAAAAAAAGGTACATAGCAAGTCTATAAAGTTGCGCATGGAAATTTACATGAACACATTTCTGTTGACCCCACAATTTTGGCTGCCAGGTCTTTTAATTATTTATAAAGATGTTCGTGTGATTCCTGGTTTGTTAGAAGGTGCACCTCCAGGAACTATAATAAGTTTTACCAGTACTGGATACATGTGCGAAAAACTTTTTTAAATGTATCTTACTTATTTTATCAATTAAATTTTGCCTTATTGTTCAGTTTTACTAATACTTGATGGCCACAAAAGCCATGTAAGCTACATGAGTATTGATTTTTGCCACCAAAATGGAATTCTTCTTTATGTGCTCTCACTCCATATAATGCATGTTTTACAGCCTTTCAAACTTCCTTTCGCTAAATTAAAAAATAAATATTCTAAGGAATGTGACAAATATAAAAATATTAATAATAGTAAAGTAGTAACAAAACATACTTTTGCATGTGTTTTTGGCCCAGCCTTCTGTAAAATTTATACACTATTAGCTATTTGCAATGCTTACAAAAGCACAGAAATATAGCCTTTTAATTCTGAAGCTATTAGCCCAAACCACTTAAACTCTTCTTTGACAACCAAATGATTTGATATCATATCTTTAGATAGTCAACCTTCTATACAATCTTCAAATAATTAACTTTTTATTCATTCAAATCATCTACACCTTACTCGTTCAAGTGCTAACCTATTAAAAAAAAAAAATGAAATCTTTTTGAATGAGAATGATTTACTTAAAAATAAAAACAAAATATTAAAGATTCAGTTTTTAGCATTAAAAAAAGAATTAGATACTTATAAGAACTCCAGAACATGTTCTTTACACTCTGCCCTCAAGTACCCAGTTCTATGAATTTTGCATACTGAAGCTCAAGTTTTTTCAGATCTAAATGAATCTGAGTCCCTCACTTTTAAAAAAAGAAAAACTCTTTTATTTGCAAGATTTCTTATTTCTGAAGAAAGCTAATAGCAACTAAAAATAGTAAACGAAGAAGTGGAAAAAAAATTGCAGAATCTAACCAAAAAAGAAACTAGCAGCCCAAAAAAGGGAACTAGCAGCCCAAAAAGAGAAGAACAAGAGCAAAAAAAGCAAAAAAAGGAAGAACATAAAAAAAAAAAACAGTATAAAATAATAAATAATATATATAAAAGTTCAAATAAAAAAATATATATATTTTTGAAAATTGGCCACAATACTCCCCTCTAAAATCCCAAATTTATATTCTTT